TAAGGTCACACAGTGAGCAAAGCTTTGCTCCAGGGTTTGTCTGATTCCAAACTCATCACGCAGTACAGTTCCCACACAGTAGTAACCTTCCTTCTGCTAGAATCAGCCGTGGGCAAACTACGGCCCGCGGGCCAGATCCAGCCCGTTTGAAATGAATAAAACTAAAAAAAAAAAAAGACCGTACCCTTTTATGTAATGATGTTTACTTTGAATTTATATTAGTTCACACAAACACTCCATCCATGCTTTTGTTCCGGCCCTCCGGTCCAGTTTAAGAACCCATTGTGGCCCTCGAGTCAAAAAGTTTGCCCACCCCTGTGCTAGATGCTTTTTAAGCACCATGAAGTTAAATCCTTATAACTACCCTGCGAAGCAAGTGCTTTTATTATCCCCATTTTGTAGATCACAGACATCCATAGGGAAGAGGAAGCTGTTTAGCAGAGAGGCTTTGGGATCTGAGGATTGCTTACAGATTTATGATTCATACATCGCCAAGGGCAGACAAGGGGGTGGGGAGAAAGGAATTCTTGGAGGTTACAAAAGGCCAGGATCCTTTTTCAATCCTGCTGAAGTGTTGAGCCAGGAATATTGGCAAATAGAGCCCCAGAAACTTACTTGTCCTCTCTAAGGATTTGCTCTTAATTAATTTTAAATTTGAGTAAGGAAAAAATTCATGGAGGGAATACATCACCATTGTAGAAAAAGGTTGGAAATATAGGCATGTAATAAGGTAACATAATTCAGAAATCTTACCAATACTTCAGCTGTATAATTGTTAGCAATTATGCTCAATATTTTTGTGCTGCCGTTTCCTCTAAATAAGGCAGTCAGGGAAGCCTCTCTGAGGAAGTGGCGTTTGAGCTGAGATGGAGCTGTCATGGGAAGAGAGTTCCAGGCAGAGGGAACAGCACATGCAAAGACCCTGAAGTGGGACTGAGGTTGGCAGAGCAAAGGGACAGGAGAATGGTCAGTGGGGTTCATGAGAAACAAGAGAGTGGGGAGTTGAAGGGGAGGCGGTCCGGGAGACAGACTTGAGTACAATCACAGAGGGGGAAATGGGCTCAAGGCCAGGGAGCTGCTCCTGTGCCCAGCCCACAGGTGATGGGCCAGTAACATAAGCAGGTTTATTCATCAGCATCAGGCTTCTGGAAGGAAGACAAGGTGAGAGATCCTGCCCGTTTAGCCTGGTATATTTTCACCAAGCACTCACGCTGTGCCAGGCGCTGACCGGAGTTCTGGCCTCCAGATTGTTTGCTTGACGATCAGAAAAGGCTGTAAAGAGGCATTTTTCCAAAGAGGACACATGACTGGCCAACAAATGGACGCAAAGATCCTCAAGGTCCCTCCAAAGCAGGCAATTCAAGTTCGAACACTTAGAGATGTTTCACAACCATGGACGGACAACAGTTTAAAAATTAGAAAATATTAAAGCATAGAGGAGTGGTTCATAGCTCAGGCTCCGGAAGCAGGCTTTCTGAGGTCCTGCTGCGCTCTGCCCCTCCTGAGTGACCTGAGGCTAGTTACTTTACCTCTCTGTGCCTCCATTTTTCTTTTTTTGTTTTTTCATTTCTCTATCTTCCTGTCCCCACTGCTTTTATCCCCAAGGAGTAACGTCAGAGGCCCTGGGTAAGTACTGTTCTTATAAAGGTCAGGGACAGAAAGATGACGTGGAATGTCTTATCATGGGCAGGACAGAACTGGAGGCCTCACAGATGAAACACATCTTGAGGAAGGAACGGGACTAACTCCTGCCATAGGCAGGGGAGCTGGCTGGAGCCTTGGAATGAATGGGTTCAGGGGAAAATGGATGAAAACTGGGCAGGCAGGGTGGACCCCTGAGCGGTCCCAGGGCCAGCCAAGGGGGGTTCTCGCCTTGGGACCCTTTCTGTTGTGCACACCAGTAGGTCACCGCTTGCACTGTTTACCAGCTGAAAAGTAGGTTGAGGAAAATATAATTATGAAGCAAATATTTTCAAAGATGCTTGCCGGGAAGTACTGGTGGGAGGATCTGGAAGTGAGACAGGGAAGGGAAAGAAGCCAGTATAAGGTGAGTTACCGAGTAGGTTATCACTCTGGGCAACTGAAGCCCAACCCCACCCTGGAACTCCAGGACACAAAGTAAAACATCTCAGAATTGTCGGAAGGAGTAGGGGTATTTATCCACCAACTCCTGTCAGTCATTGGTGAAGGGCTCTTCACAGGGGAAGGTGAACCTTCCCTCCTCAGCATTCTCTAGGGATGGAGGAGTAACTATGTGGAAGGAGCCAGGGACCCCACCCTGCGGAGCCATGCCATCCTGGCTTCTCCATCGCTACAGAGACATCTCTGTCGACATGGTCCAGGATGGCTCCCCAATACCATGTCTGTTATTTCAGCCAACAGGAAGAGAACAGTGAAAGGAAGAGCATTGCCCATTCCTTGTGAAGGGTAGGCCTGTGGATATGTGGGGGAAGAGCTTTTCATTGGCTATAACTTAGTCACATGACTCCAGCTGGTTGCAAAGAAGCCTGGGAAATGTGGTAAAGCTGTGGGAAGCCGTCTATCCAGCTAAAACTCAGGCGTTCTTTTACTAGGAGAGAGGAGGCAGGAACAGATATTGGGGGGAATCATTTGTAATCTTTGGCCAAAGCTTCTGACTCAAAGTAGCTCTACAAAAGATACCTGCTATTGTTGTCACCTCTTCTTTGAAAAGCCCTGTAGGTATACTTGAAAGATGCACTTAAATGCTGATTCCACCCTACATTGGACTTTGGAGTCAATGTAGTAGGGTTTAAATCTTTATTTTCATGCCTCCTAGGTTGTGTGACCTTGGATAAATTACTTAATCTCTCTGAGTCATCTGTCAAGCATGGATTGCTCATATAAGGACTGGGAAAATCAAATAAGATGATGAACATGAAGCTCAAGAGTAATGTCCAGCCCAAATGGATGCTCAATAAATGGTCATTTTATTGTTAAGAAATGTGTATGGTGGATAAGAAAATGAGCTCAGAGATCAGACAGATCTGGGGTCAAATATACAATCTTCTGCTTCCTAGCGGGGCAAACTGTTTATAACCTCTCTGCACCTCAGTCCCCTCATCTGTGAAATGGGAGCAATAACAGGCCCAGCCCACAGAGCGGTTTGGAGGCTCTAAGGAACGGCTGGCACACTGAAACCAGCCAAGCAAAGTGAGTTATTGTTAGGTTCCTGTTCCCACTCTGAGCTTGTGGAGGAAGAGGCAGGGTCAAAAGGCTGTTGCTGCAAACAATGTTGTGCAGAGAAGTCATACGTGAAAGAATTAGTGCCGTGTGAGTACACGAAGTTCACAAACAGGAAGTAATCTTTAGTGCTGGGAGTCAGGGTAGTGGTTACCATTGAGGGTGGTGGTAGGGACTGGGAGGGGGCTGCTAGGTGACTGGTATTCTGTTCTTTGATCTGGGGGCTGGTTACCCCGGTGTGCTGCCTTTGTGAAAATTTATTGAGCTGTCATTTATTGAGCTGTGTACTTTTCTGCATGTACAAATATAGAAATAGAAAGTTTCCTCCAAAAAGTATCTGTGGTCTATCGGAAGCCAGCAGTGGCTGAAGGGCTGAGGGACGCAAACGGGCCTCTTCCCTTGCCAGCCACCACAGTTTCTGTTTCCTCTCGAGGTACAGGCACCAGCTTCCGCTCCAAATGCTCCAAGTGGCACCCACAAAATTCCCCTGCCCTTCCCCCTGTGATGCAGCCTGATCACCACATCCGGGTTCAGTCTTGTGTCCACAGAGCTCCCTCCCCCCGTGATGGGGCCTGATGACCACATCTGGGCCCAGTCTGGCGCAGTCAACCTGACTGACCACGTAACCAGTTCCTGGACAGGAAATGTCAATAACTCACCGTGAACAGCAGACTCATATTCTTGATCAACACAAGTGGGGGTGGTGTTGTTCTTCTTTATTTCATTAATGCAAACACTCTTTGGCACTCACTATATGTAGCTCTAGGTGAGGGTCATGCTTGGTTCAAAGATACTACATTCATTCATTCATTCATTCATTCAATAAATAACTGAGCACCTACCAGGCATGGTACTGGAGATGCCTCTGTGCAGAAAACAGACAGGTCTCCTGGAGCTGACTTCTTAGTGAAGAGAGATGGACAATAAATAAACAAGTAAATATATAGCATATTAGATGGTGATGAATGCCATCTAATTAAGCAGAGATGGGGATATGGAGTGTAAGACATGTCAGAAGTTTGCACATTTTAGCAGCATGTTCAGGGAACGCCTCCCTGAGAAGGTGACAGTTAAGTAAAGACTTGAAGAAGAAGAAGGGGGAGTGGGCCAAGTGAGGATGTGAGGAAAGAGCATTCCAGCCAGAGGAGAGAGGAGAGCCAGAGAGGTCAGAGAAGTTGCAGGGAACAGATCCCTGCAATGTTAATGTCATAAAAACAAAGAAAAGCGAGGAATCATTCCAGATTAAAGAAAACTGAAGAGACATAGTAACTAGATGCAAAACATGACCTTGAACTGGACCCTGTATTAGAAGGGAAAGGTGCTGTAAAGGACATTGTTGCAACAATTGACAAAATTAGAATGTGGAAAGTAGATTAAAGCATTGTGTCAAGGTAAATTTCCTGTATTTGACAACTGTGGTGTAGTTATAACATCCTGTTCTTAGGAAATATATGCTGAAATATTAAGGGACAAATGGGGCATGGTGTGTGCAACCTCTTCTCAAATGATTCAGAAAAATAAATATTAATAATAATGAATATATATTCACATAAAGAGAGGATGATAAAATATGGTAAAATATTAAAAATTGGTGACTCTGGGTAAAGGGCATACTGGAATTCTCTGACTTATTCTTGCAACATTTCTATAGATTTAAAACTATTTCACAACCTTTAATTGTGTTTGCTTCTGGGGTAAGCAAAAGTGAAAAATAACAGAAGTTCGTGTTTTAGACACACATTCTAGGCATTGTGTGCAGTCAGTCACTTACATGTTTGAGATGATTCCCATTTATTTCTCTCAAGTATTCCCATTGCATGGAGGAGGAAACCGAGGCTCAGAGAAGGGCAGAGCCCAGAACCAAAAACTAACCCAGGTCAGTCTCATTTCAGAGGCCCCAGAATCAGTTGGGCAGGATCTTGGCCTTTAAGGAAAGGAGATTTCTCAAAACCGTCTTCATTATTTAAAGGGAAAAAAAGCAGTAGGCTCTTAACTATGTAGGTGTGGGTTGTCCATTGTGAACATTAATCTGGGGTGTAGCTATTTGACCAGTTAGTCATCCAACAGACATTTATTGAACATCGTTATTGGACCCAAAGGCAGAGTTACCAGTACTGGGAGGCATTAGGAGTTCTAGAATGTTCCGGGGTGACTGAGGGGCAGCCAAGATACAAACAGGAAGCATCGCTGTGTAAATTGCCCAAAGAGATCTCAAAAGAAATGGTCCCGATGCTCCAAGTGTCCAAAAATTTGAGATGAGTTACTATTTGCATTGTCAGTAAGTACCCACTTTCTTCCTATTTCATATTTGGAATTTTGTATTCTTCTTCTAAAATTGCAGGAACTTCAGAGTCCATAACCACTAAGAGTCAAGAGGGAGCTCCGAGTCTGATGGGGCCGAGCAGTCACAACACAGGACGGATGCTGTGCTGGGGAAGTAGAGGCACCGTGGACAGCCTGATCCAGTCACTCAGGAAGTCCCAGGGCTTCTCTTACCCTTTCCTAACAGTTGCCTCCAAAACTCCTTTTTGACCAACAATTGATGTTTTCATCACCTGCTTTCCTGCTGTCCTGCAAGTGGCTGGGGTAACTGCCAATGGCCCTATAGCACGTGTGTGATGATACTAGGTAATAAATGTGTGTCAGACTCCCTTCTAATCCTTTACTGGAGGCATCTCATTTAAGTCCTAGAGCAACCCTATAAGGGACATACTATTACTCGCTCCATTTTACAGATGAAGGCACTGAGGCCTGGAAGGATTAAGTACTTTGTCAAGGTCACAGAACCGGCAGTGGAGGAAGCAGGAGTCAAACCTGAGCAATGGGTCCACGATCCCCCAATACTAGGGGCCTCTGTGGCTCACACCTACCCAGAATCCCAGTTTTCCTTTGGGGATGCACTTGCCCCCCAACAGACCATATGATTTGAGTAGAGCTGACCACACTCCCTGGCTCTAGGGTGAATCATGTCACCCAGTCCTGGCCCACCAGAGCCACAGATTGTGCTGGCCATAGTGATTAATTCTATAGTGACCTCAGCCAGATCAGTGAGAAACCTCCCTCAGTCCTTTACTTAAATCATGCAGAAGAGCCCTAGCCGGTTTGGCTCAGTGGATAGAGCGTCGGCGTGCAGACTGAAGGGTCCCAGGTTTGATTCCTGTCAAGGGCATATGCCCAGGTTGTGGGCTTGATCCCCAATAGGGGACATTTCATCACTGATGTTTCTCTCTCTCTCTCTCTCTCTCTCTCTCTCTCTCTCTCTCTCTCCCTCTCCCTTCCTCTCTGAAATCAATACAAATATATATTTTTTAAAAATCATGCAGAAGAAAGTACTCCTTAGGATGGCTGGGATGGTAAGAACTGCCAAGTCCCTCTGTCATTTACTTGAGAAGGAAGGCAATAGAGGCAAATTTGAGCTAAGAGACCGAGCACAACTGAGCTCCTGGATCCAGCCAGGCCTGAAACACCCATAGACTTTTCCACTACATGAACTAATATATTCTCTCTCTCTCCGCAACCACCGCCCTTTTTTTGGCTCAGACTAGTTAGGCACATACTAGCAATAGATGTTCAAACATTGGTTAGAGTTTAGGTCACAGTCACAGCCCATCTCCTTACTTTTCTTTTTTCTCCTTTGTTTTTCTCTTTCTTTTTACTTTCTTTAACAGCTTTATTGAGATATAAAGTTCATATACCATTTAATTCACCCATTTAAAATATTCAATTCAGTGGCTTTTCGTATATAATCACAGTCGTGCAGCCATCTCCACCATCAATTGTAGGACATTTCATCACCCTTAAGAGAAGCCTTGTACCCATTATTAGCCACTTAAAACCCCCCAATCTCTTTCCTTGCAGCCCTTGCCAATCACTAATCTGCTGTCTCTATAGATTTGCCTAGTCTGGACATTTCCTATAAATATGTTTATATCATATGTGCTTCTTTGGGTCTTTCTTTCACTTAGCATGTTTTCAGGGTTCATCCATGTTGTAGCATGTGTCACTACTTCACTCTTTTTTATTGCTGAATAATATTCCATTGTATGGGTAGACCACATTTTATTTATCCATCCGTCACTTGTTGAACATTTGGGTTGTTTCTATGTTTGGCTGTAATAGATGATGTTGCTATAAACCTAGTGTACATGTTTTTGTGTGGATATACGTTTTCCATATGCCTGGGAGTGGAATTGCTGGGTCACATGGTAATGCTGTTTAACCTTTTGAGGAACGGCCAGACTGTATTCCAAAGTGGCTGTACCATGTTTTTTCCAATCCCACCAGCCATGTCTGAGCCTCCCCCAGGCCTTACTTTTGCTGTGTGACTCTGGCAAGTTGTTTCAGCTCTCTGGGCCTTCGTTTCCCATATCTGAAGTGGGGATGCACTGTTGTGAGGCTTTAACAGAAATCATGCATGTGAGATGCGGGCCACATCTGAGTTCTTGGCCTCAGTTCTCATCTGTGAAATGGGGACAGCAAAAGCATTTCCCTCACAGAGTTCTGAGGATGAAAGAGAACTCCGCCCCCGCCCCCGCCCCCACCCCCACCCCAAGAGAGGACAAACTCAATCAAAGATGGCTGTAGACCTAGATATAATGCGATTCTCCTCTTTTCAAATGAACAAAACTTGCGTGAACACTTGTGGGCTATGCACCGGCTGTGTCACATGTATTAATGTTCCCTTGCTTTTCAAGTTGGAATTCCTTTGCCTTGTGAAATTAAGGGAGAATAGTGGTCAAATTATATGATGATCAGCTGACCCACAGTGTGGATCAGTGGTGTGACCTAATCTGCTGATGAATGACACAGTCGCTGAAATGGGGAAACTGTGCCAAGCTTTAAGTATGAGGGTGTGAAAACCCCATGACTGAGTCATGATCCCAAGGGAGTGGATGGGGGTGGGGAGGTAGGGAGAAGAGTTGGATAAAATCACAGTCCCCTAAAGGCATTCTGACTTGCTCTCTGACCTCAATACTTCCTCTCCCTCCTTCTACAGGACCCAGTCATTAGTCAGAGTAAATCACTTGCATTTTCTGGAACAAGCAGTGCTCTCCAGACCTTTGTACATGCTGTTCTCTCTGCTGGGAGCACCCTTCCTACTCACGCTCTCCCTGTCACCTGGCATAGCCCAGTTCATCCTTGAGTTTCCACTTCGAGGTCAACTTCTCCAGGAAGCTTTCTCCAGTGGGGATCCTTTACCCGGCGGGTGCAACTCTTATTTCCTCTGGATCAGAAAAGAGCATCTCAGTTTTCCTTTGGGGAACCACTCCCTCCCCCCACTCTCATCCATGGGGTTCAGGGGTGGGCTCCTGGCTTCATAGGTGAGCTTGGCCAATCAGCATATTCCGTTCTCCTGGCCACAGCGATTGTTTTGTGGATTCCAGAGAGGCCAATGAGACTCACTCCTGGGGCTTTGGTTGGAATTGTTGGGAAAGAGGATCTCCCTTACCACTGGGGTTGCCAGTTACAAAAACAAAGCAAACTTCGAGTGGCTGCTGGCCATCTTTGCCACTATGTGCAAAAAGCCTGTCTGAAAGGAAATCCAAAACAGAGGAAAGCAGAGCTGAAAGATAGATCGATAGATAGATTGATAGGTAGATGAGAAGAGACGAGGAGAGGAGAGGAGAGGAGAGGAGAGGAGGGGA